AGCCATGAAGATCCTGTTCCTGCTCTTCCCCCTGCTTCTCCTGTTGGTCCAGGGTGCTGCAGGTGAGAAGGGAAGAGGGGAAAAGGGTGAAACTGTAAGCACCCAGCAGTGGGAATTCAGTGTCCCTGGGAGTGACCATGTTTGTAGGAATGATGAGAAGGTAACGGGTCTGGGGTCAGTTGTGTTTCCGGAGTGAGTTTCCAGATGGACACTGCTTTGGGGTGGAGAGAGCCCATGGAAACAGAATCCTGGCTTGTTCTGTGGGTCTGGGACGTGGAATGTGACGAATGCCTGCCTGCCAGCTCTGCTGGTCCATGCAGAGGTGGGAATGCAGCTGGAAACCAGCACGGCTCTGCCTCAGCCTCATGCTGGTCCTTTCTAGTCTGTGCTGTGGTGTACCTCCAGTTTAGGGGGACAGGGACCTTCCAGGTGAGACACATTGCAAGTGGAAATGTGGCTGTGGCGGGATTGGTTCTGAGCCCTTCTCTTGGCCTGAAATGCACCAGCACCAGGGAGCATCAGCCTGTCTATAACCAAAGTCTGACCTCTCAGATTATACCTTTAATTGTTCCCTGTGTCTTTCCCATTGGGAACAGGCAATGCAGCTGTATGCTGGCGACTACGGGGATACTGCTCCAGGCGTCCTTGTCTTCCTGGTACACGTGTTATAGGAAGATGTACACGAGATTATATGTGCTGCAGAAGGTAAGGCCCAGATCCTTGGCTGAAGAAAGATTTTCCTCTGTTTTCCTCAGAAAGATCTGTTACCAACACCTTCCTAGACCGCACACGATTATCCCGGTAGGTCCCAGCTGGGCTGTGCCCGGTAGACTGCCAAGGCCAGGATAGTCTCAGCAGAGGCTCAGACTTGGTCCGATCTCCCAAGTCATTCCCAGCTGCAAGCAGCCAAGCAAGCTCAAGTGATTTCAGCTCTTTAGTGATTATCAGCTCTGTGTTATTATCAGCTCTTTTGGCTTGCTTGTGGCCATGGCATCAGATGCAGGGAGAGAGAGGAGAAGCGCTGTGTAAGGTTCCGCAGGATTCTTTATGGAGGGTGTCCCACGAAGGTTCTCAGTGACAGCTCTTCTGCCGAACCAGGCAGAATTAGGGGTTTTTATACCCTACAGAGGTTTTGAAAACTGTCCAATAGAAAGGGTCAGGGAAAAGTGACCTATAGGCTTACAGAGAGATAAGCAGGGTCCGAAAGGCGGAAGAGAGGGGCTTCTAAGGCCCGAGTCATCGTGACTTGGCATTTCCTAGCTCAGGCTTCTGACCGCCAAGGAGGCCTTGCAGGCCCTGTGCCTGCTACACACAATCGATACTTTCCAGCATTTATGCTTTGAGAGAGATGCTTAAGAACGGAAAGAATAGTCTTTGTGGGTCTGATCTCCCCTCACTGGGGCTGCAGGAGCCCCAGGTCAGTCACGGCATCCCCGCTGTCCTACAGGCCCCACGGCCTCATTCAGGCTCTGCAGGGGAGTCACCAGAGACACCAAAGACAGCAACATTCCCTGTCCTTGGGCGGCACCCAGGACATGATCCAGGTCCTGCTGCATCTGCACAGAGCTGGAGCCAGGGCTGCCAGCACTGAGATAGCCCAGCTCCAACCTGTCTGCACCAAGGACTGCAGCTCACCTCCCCTGAGCCTGACTCTGCTGCACCACACCCTGGGCATTGCAGGGCAGGGGACAGAGTGGCAGGGAAAGTTACACCTGGTGATGTGCTTGTCTGCTTTCTTCTTACAGTCCCAGAGGTTGAAACCCTGAAATTCCCAAGCAGGACATGGCCCATTTGCTTCTGACTGCTGAAAATCACCTCCTGATGTCCCCATCTGCTGATGTTCCCTGCCATCTGCTGATGTGCCCTGCCCTCGCTGCCTGTGCCGTGTCCAGCTGGGCTGACAGCAGCAGTGGCAGCTGCTCCTGCTGGCTGCTGCTGGGCTGGAGCCCTGTGGTGCCAGCCCCAGTGTCTTTGGGGCAGGGGCTGCTTTTCCCGGCTTGAATAAAGAGCAGCACTTTGGCATTGCAGGGCTGGGCCGTGTGTGCGTGTCCTGCTGCTGCAGGGGTGCTGTGCCTGCTGCCCCTGGGGCTGCCACTGCCTTGGTGGCAGCACGAGGCCCTGGGCATGGTGCTGGGGCTGAGCAGCGCCTGTGTCCCTGGGGATGCTCCTGCCTGGCCGTGCTTTGGGCACGCTGAGCCTGGCAGTGCCTGCTGGGCCCGGCTGGGTGGGGTGCCTGTGGTGGAGATGCACAGATGCTCTCTCCTCTGTGGAGCAGAATCTATGTCCTGCTTTTTTTAGGCCCAGACTTCTTTAATTTCTCAGGCCCCTACTTCCCTGTCACTCACTTTGAGGTGGGTGATGGTACTTTCTTGTGGGGGATGCTCAGCGCACGTGAGGATGAGCTCAAGCGAGGCACTGTCCTATTGCTGTGGGAAAAGTGCTCCCTGGGTTTTCTGCAGGGATGTCCCATAAGTCCACATGGAGCAGGACATGGTTCCTATTGGGAATCTCAAGCTACACATCTGTGTTTGTGTGTTCAGTGTGCACACTGTGGGAATCCCTTCTGTTGTCTGGGCACACCTGGGACTGGCTGGAGCCCAGGCAGGCCTTGTCCTCTGTTCTGAGTCCACCTGGGCTCTGCTGAGCTCTGGGAGCTGTTGGAGTGTCCCTGCACTCCCAGCTGTGGCTCTGGGCTGAGAAGGGCAGCAGATCCAGTCCAGGGTTTCCCCCATGTCCCTGGGCTGCCCATTGTTCTCTGTCTCCCTCATGCAGGGGAAGTTTTCTGGTGGAAGTTGGGTAATGTTTATAGCACTTGATTGGGACACACTCAGGACCTCCCCTCAGTAGCCTTCTGCAGGAATTCTCCAACATGTCTGATGCCTCCATCCCTGCACCAGGCAGGACTCTGAGGGTGAAGCAGGATTTCCTTTCCTCCCTTTTCCTCCTCCTCTCCACCAGGGCTGCTGTGCACAGTGATGTGGACTCAGAAAGACATGACATAGGAGCCATGGTGATAGGGGCAAAGCCTCATCTCTAAAATAGTCACAGCTTTGTTACAAGGTCCCAGCTCCAGTCCCAACTGTGAAACCTGCAGCAGGAGCCATTCCTTAAAGGTATGGGGCAGTGAGGAATGTCTGCACAGCCAGGAGAACTCACAAGTGACTCATGATCTCAGTAGAGGAAAAAAAATAGTGGTACTGAAAGGTTTGACTTCTGTCTTTTCTCGTCTTTATTCTGTTTATTCAAAAATTCAACATCCACAGCACAGTTTCACTGTAGCATCACTTAAATCCTCTATTTTTTCATTCATTTAATTCATTACTGCTGTACCTGCTGCTCTCTGGAGCATATATGTGAGGGGAGCACATAGGACAGGCTGGAGTCCCTTGAGTACTCAAGATGTCCAGCCCAAAAGTTCCTTTCTCTGTTTCCCCTCTGCACTGAAGAAAAGGAGGTTTTTGTTTCCTCTTCTGAAACTTCTGGGAGGTATTCCCAACCAAGGTCTTGTGTCATCCTGCCTTGTGTAAGAACTCCATGTGGTTCTGTGGTGTGCTGGATACATCCAGGGACACAGACTCTGACCCTGCTCATTGGAAACAAGCACCAACCTGCTGCTCTGGCACAGAGCAGAGCCTTTCCCACTTATCTTCAGAAAACATTCCCAGTAAACCATCAGTAATCTGGGCAGTTGCCCCTCTGTTTCTGCTGAGGATCCATTTCCTGTGTTTTTCTTAATTGTCACCTTGTCACTGTGACTTCATATTTCAGGGTTGTGCAGGGAAAAATGATGAGGCACAAGGTTCCACTGCCAAATCCCCAGAAACTCAGGCTCTGCCATTTGGGGGCAACTAGATTGCTCTTCCAAACTCCTGGAGAGGGAGTTGCTAACTTGGGCACATGATATAGACCCCTCCTGCCCAGCAAGGACTGTCACCAGAACTGGGCTGGTGCTGGTGCCCGCACCCACCAGTTCCTGTGCCCATCCCAAGGATTTCCCTGCTGGCCCCACAGCCTGTTGCCGCTGTGCCGTGGGTGTCACAAGAGGTGTTGCATGGGGACAACGGTGACATTGATTGCAACAGCCCCACGAGGCACCTCAGCCTCTGCCCCTGCAGCAGGGAGGGACCAGGGCCAGCTCCAAAACACATTAATTGACTCTGCTGGGCTGGGTCTGCACGCACAGGAATGTTAAGACCATTGGCCTTTGGAAGTGAAGAATGTGGTAACACCAATTTATCTGAGCTGCTAGAGATGGGAAGACACCCGGCTTTTGCCCTGATGGGAGATATTTATGGACATTTTCAGGGTGTAGCCCAAGGGACCACTTGGAGAGATCACCTCCTGGAGGAGCTGTACAGCCAGCCTGGGAGACTTTTTCTCCTTGAAGGAATGCTGAGGTCTCCTGGCTGTGCAGGATCAGGCTCCTGTGGAAGGGATCTGGAAAGAACAGAGGCTGTGGGCTGGTAAAGGTGTCAGTGCTGTGGGGGAAGAAGGGGGGGAACTGAGCAGGGACTGCACTGCAGACCTCAGCTCAAGGGCAGATGTGGAAGCTTGACATCCCAGTCAAGAGTGTAGCGGGAATGCCAGGATATCTGGGATGGTTGGGTGGGAAGCAAGGCCAGGCCCAGCAGAGAGCCCCCAGCACAGCCATGCACACAAAGCCATGGATGTTGGGGACAAGGGACACCCACAACCAGCAGGACCAGAATAAGGATCCTACTCCCCAGAGGGAGCATCTGCAGTGCAGCCCCACCACAGGCACCCCACCCTGCCTGGCGCAGCAGGCACTGTCAGGCTCAGCGTGCCCAAAGCACGGCCAGGCAGGAGCATCCCCTGGGACACAGGCGCTGCTCAGCCCCAGCACCATGCCCAGGGCCTCGTGCTGCCACCAAGGCAGTGGCAGCCCCAGGGGCAGCAGGCACAGCACCCCTGCAGCAGCAGGACACGCACACACGGCCCAGCCCTGCAATGCCAAAGTGCTGCTCTTTATTCAAGCCAGGAAAAGCAGCCCCTGCCCCAAAGACAGCGGGGCTGGCACCACAGGGCTCCAGCCCAGCAGCAGCCAGCAGGAGCAGCTGCCACTGCTGCTGTCAGCCCAGCTGGGCACGGCACAGGCAGTGAGGGCAGGGCACATCAGCAGATGGGGACATCAGCAGATGGGGTCCAGCATCCAGAAGCGAGGGCCATGTCCTGCTTGGGAATTTTAGGGTTTCATCCCCTGGGACTGTAAGAAGAAGGCAGACAAGCACATCAGCAGGTGTAACTTTCCTTGCCACTCTGTCCCCTGCCCTGCAATGCCCAGGGTGTGGTGCAGCAGAGTCAGGCTCAGGGGAGGTGAGCTGCAGTCCTTGGTGCAGACAGGTTGGAGCTGGGCTGTCTCAGTGCTGGCAGCCCTGGCTCCAGCTCTGTGTAGATGCAGCAATGTTGGGATCATATCCTCTGTGGTGTCCAAGGACATGGAAGGCTTCACTCTTTGGTGGCTTTGGTCAGGCCTCTGCAGAGCCTGAATGAGGCTCTGGGGACAGGGGGAGAGTGGGGAGGCCCTGACTGACCTAGGGCTGCTGCAGCCCCAGGGACAGGAGATCAAACCCACAAGGACTGTTCTTTCTCTTCTTAAGCAACTTTCTCATAGCATAAATGCAGGAGAATATTTACCATGAGTTGACAAGAAAGACATTGGTAACAGATCTTTCTGAGGAAAACAGAGGAAAATCTTTCTTCAGCCAAGGATCTGGGCCTTACCTTTTGCAGCACGCAAAGCCTCGTGCACATATTCCCACAGTGCGTGTACCATGGCGGCAAAAACGCTTCATGCAGAATCCTCCTTTTCGCCAGCATAGAACTGTATTGCCTGTTCCCATGAGGAAAGACACAGGGAAAAATTAATGGAATTAATCGAGAGTCAGATTGTGATTATAGACAGGCTGATGCCCCCTGGTGCTGGTGCATTTCAGGCCAAGAGAAGGGCTCAGAACCAATCCCGCCACAGCCACATTTCCACTTGCAATGTGTCTCACCTGGAAGGTCCCTGTCCCCTAAACTGGAGGCACACCAGAGCACAGACCAGAAAGGACCAGCATGAGGCTGAGGAAGAGCCGTGCTGGTTTCCAGCTGCATTCCCACCGCTGCTTGGACCAGCAGAGTGGGCAGGAAAGGATTCATCTCATTGCACATCCCAGACCCACAGAACAAGCCAGGATTCTGTTTCCATGGGCTCTCTCCACCCCAAAGCAGTGTCCATCTGGAAACTCACTCCGGAAACACAACTGACCCCAGACCCGTTACCTTCTCATCATTCCTACAAACATGGTCACTCCCAGGGACACTGAATTCCCACTGCTGGGTGCTTACAGTTTCACCCTTTTCCCCTCTTCCCTTCTCACCTGCAGCACCCTGGACCAACAGAAGCATCAGGGGGAAGAGCAGGAACAGGATCTTCATGGCTGCTGCTCCTCCTGGGTCTTCACAGGGCTGCAATGGGAACACCAAGGCAATGAGGACAGGCAGGACACTGAGTGGGCAGAATTCTGGAAACAGACCACACACTCACCTCCCTGACAAAGGCTTTGGTGTTCAGGCAGCAGCAAAGCCAGCAGGAATGGCTGTGTCCAGATGCCCTTGGGGCCAGGCAATGCTGCAGTGCCCCAAAGACGCTGGGTTTATAGCAGTGCTGGTGGGTGGGACAGGCCCCAGCTGCTGCTGCTGGCACAAGTGGCCTGGGCCAACCCGGGAGTGCCCCATGGCTGTGGGGGTGCTGGGGCTGGCCCTGGTCCCTCCCTGCTGCAGGGGCAGAGGCTGAGGGGCCTCGTGGGGCTGTTGCAATCAATGTCACCGTTGTCCCCATGCAACACCTCTTGTGACACCCGCGGCACAGCGGCACCGGGCTGGGCAGGAGAGGGCTGGATGGACAAGGGAGGTGGGCTGGTGTTGGGAAGAGTAGAAATGAGGAAATGGTTTCCTTCCTTGTGATCTCTGGTTTTATCTCTTCCATACTAGTGTAGGATGTGGAATATCTGACTGATTATTGCAATAGTGCTCAGCTTTGTATAGGGCGAGGAAAAGATTGCCCCTCATTTCACATCAACCGCTGTTTTGGGGAGTTTGGAAATGTAATAGAGAAAATAAAATTTCCTTCACTCCCTATCACAGTCTGCTCTCTGAGCAGGGAGTCGTGACATTGAATTGGTGTCGCAGACAGGATTCTGGTAGAAGGAGAGGTTTGCAGGTTGTGTGTAGTCTGTAACATGGGAAGGACATTTCACCTTAGCCGCACCTAGCCCGTCACTTCCGAAGTGTTGAACACACCTAGATAGCAAGGGCCATGATTCAAATTTCCCTCAAGCCTCACACGTCTAGGTGGAAAGCATCCCCATACTCAATTGAGGGTTCTGTCTTCAAAATTTCACAAAAGATCTCTCAGTGCAAAAGGCGAAACTGTTTCTTTGGTGTTTGTGTGTATCTGGATTGCCTGAGAAGGAAGGGACAACTTGAAGTAACTAAGCTGGGTGTCCCGGGCAGATTTTCTTCCCTTCACCCACCCAGGGAAGTGAGGGGAAACACAGCAAGAGCTGCGTGGTTGTGTAACTTAGTTTGTACCTCTCTGTCGTGGTTTTTGGTCCCCTTACAAAGGAACCGTTTGAGTGTGTGTATCTGGACTGTCTGGGAAGGAAGGGACACCTTTGGAGTAATTAAGCAGGGCCTCTCAGGCAGATTTCATCCCTCATCCCCCAAGGGAAGTAAGTGAAGGGGAGCCCACAAAGGCTGTGTGATTGTGTAATTAAGTTGTATCTCCCTGTCATGGTTCTGATCCCTTCAAAAAATGAGTGAAAACCTTGGTGCAAAAGTTAAAGGTGGGTTTTATGCTCTGCTTGCTAAATACAATGCCAAGCCGTCTCCAGGAGGGGAAGTTTGGGCAGAAAACCACTGGTTTCATTTAGAAAATGTTATTGATAGAACATGTTCTTTACAACATGAAACAAAATTTAAAATGGGCAAAAATAAAACCATCCTCTGCTCAGTTTTGGGAGCTTGTCTCCAGCAGCCATAGAAACTTGCTTTAAGCAAAGGAATGAGGAAATAGCAATAATAGACTCCCTTCAAAACCTAGTTGAAATTTTGCAAAAACAGTTAAATGAAGATAGAAATGAGATTTATGAGTTGCAAGCTGCTCTTAGAGAGGAACATGTTAAAAATACACATAGTGCTGATTCCTCTACAGAGGCAGAGGAAAAGGAAACTCCTCACATTAAACAGATCTATTCCCATAAGGAACGTGAAACAGTAAAAAATTGTGGGCAATACTGCTGTCCTCGCTTGAGACCCTTAGTTAAAGCAGAATATAATACATTAATGATGAGGATCTTGACCCACATATCACAACTAAACAAATACCATTCAGAGCTACTGAACTGGCTAAGCTGAAAAAAGAATTCAGCTGCCTCCCACAAGAATCGGAGACAGAATATGTTTTCCAAGTGTCCCTCCCTGGTGGAAATCAAATTAAATTAACTGAACAGGAAGCCATTGGGTACTGGGGACATGGAGTCTTCTTAACAGCAGGAGATATTCATGATGCCAATTTAATGTCACTATCTGCTCTACGAGCAGGGAGTCGTGATGGTTCATTTTGCTGACCTCAGAGTGCAAAAAGCCAACACGGAAAGGGGATTGCAGTATCAATCAAAACAAATGCACCTTTATTGAATGACCACAGCAAATGCATTAAAGGAATTAGGGAAAGGAAATAATAGATAACAAGGGGGATAAAGAGGGTATATAGCTACCAAACATAGAGGCAAAGTCCTTTGTAGTCCTGCCGAAGGAATCTGCCTGTCACATCGGGGACATCTCGAAAAACCTGGTTAACTCAAGGTTCTATTATAGCCCATTGCTAAGCAGGGGAAACAGATCATGAAACCATTGAGGGGGAACAGATACATTAAAGAATAAGTTTATTGAAATCGCTGAGGGGGAAAGAGGGTACAGACAGTCCATGTTCTCAGCAGTAGGCGAGAACCATTGTCTTCTTGGTTCAATGGCCACACCACAGGCAAATATCTTGCTTTGGTCAGGTCGGCTCCCCCACACACCTTCCCCATTTTAGGGGTTTCAGTCTCGGTCCTTGGGAGCAGGGGGAGCTTTTCCATATAGGGGTTTCATGTCTCAGTCCTTGAGAGAGAGAGTCTTCTCCCATCTCAGTCCATATGTCACGGTGGTTGAAAAGCAGATGAGGGGTCTTCCGTGGGGACCACTAAAGGCTACCCCAGAAAAGTCCAACCAGGCCAAGAGGTGGGGAGATTGTTGTGGAACAGGTGCTAGCATATAGGGCGCATGGCCCCGTCGGCAGGCCCTGCCAGAAGCAGTCACTGTAGGCACAGCTGCGAACAATCGCTCGGAGGCCAGAACTCTGCTCAGGGGCCTCAGGATTATTTGGTGTTCATCCACCACCAGCAGGCCAAAATTCTGATCACGGTCCTCAGGGTCCTGATGTCTGTCCTTGAGACAGTCATGAGGCAAAAGAGGGGAACTTCAGACCATCACACTACCTCTTTACATTTATTTCCCCCTGTGCGCTCTTAGTAAGCCCTGAGCTCGTTTTCCACACCTCCATCAGTCTGGCTCCAGATGTTCTGGGCCAAGGAGCCCCTGGGGTGGGGCAGCAGCACTTCACTGCTGAGGGAAAGGGAGCTTGAGGTGACAGCCCCAGAGTCAGTGCCAGGACAGGTGACCACAGCTGAAGAAGAAGCCAAGGTAGGCAGGGATGGTCTGAATATCCCTCACCAAATCCTCCAGGTCTGGAAAGCAATGACAGTGCAGACATTTTTGGGGTCAGTCTCTTCTCCCAAGTAACAATTGACAGAATGAGAGGAAATGGTCTCAAATAACAGCAGGGAAAGACTAGACTGGGTATTAGGAATAATTTCTTTGCAGAAAGGGTGATGGTTGTTTGGAACATGCTGCCCAGGGCAGTGGTGGTGTCACCATTCCTGCAGGGAATTTAAAAGCTGTGTGGATGTGGCACTTGTGCTCATGGTTTAGTGTTGTGTTTGGAAGTCCTGGGGGAATAGTTGGGACTTGATATTCTAAGAGGACTTTTCCAACATCAGTAATTTTATGGGTATGATTCCTGAGAGGCAAAGCCTCCAGTGAACCAGGCAGGGTCCCTAGCTGCTCCCATAAACCATGTACATGGACACAGACAGGTATTGAACAAGGCAGGGAATCAAATGCCTGAGGTTTGCTTTGCACACAGGGAGAGGCCCCAGCCTTTGATGGAGCAGAGCATTGTCACTCCAGACCACCTGAGATGGGCAGAGATGCCAAGAGATTCAGCTTATTCCATGTGGGTAAACTATGGAAATGCAGGTCCACCAACGAGGGGAGACAATGATGTATCTGACTCCATATTCTCAGAAGGCTAATTTATTACTTTATTATACTAATTATATTAAGAATTCTATACTATACTAAACTAAAGAAATACAGAAAAGATACTTAGTGAATGCTAAAAAGACCATAATGAAAACTCATTACTCTTTCCAGAGCCCTAACACAGCTAGGCCCTAATTAGCCAATGAGGCAAAACAACTCACACCAGAGTCCAATCAAACAATCACCTTTGGGAAAACAATTTCCAAGCACATTGCACAGGAGCACAACACAGGAGAAGCAAATGAGATAAGAACTGTTTTCCTTCTCTCTGATGCCTGTCTCGCTGCCTTTCAGCTTCCCAGGAGAAAAACCCTGGGTGAAGGAATTTTTTCAGAGAATGTAAATGCCACAGGTAAGTAAAGAAGGATATTTCTATACCAAAATGGGACCTTTTCCACATGTCACCCAGACCAGGACATGCATCATTTCCTGCCTCTCCTGTCTGTTGGGATGGGGTGTGGAGCAGCACAGCCACAGCAGGGAGGGCTGTGGTGCTGGAACAGGACAAGGAGGAGCAGCAGGGACAGCTCCTGTGGGTCACCATGGCCATGCCCACTCAAGGGGCACAGAAGCAGCAGAGCCCTGCATATGGAGCTGTGGCTGTCAAGGACACCAGGGATATCTGGGACTGGCAGGGCCAGCACAGGGATCCCAATTCCCCAGAGAGAGCATCTGCAGGGCAGCCCCAGCACAGGCACCCCACCCAGCCTGGCCCAGCAGGCACTGCCAGGCTCAGCGTGCCCAAAGCACGGCCAGGCAGGAGCATCCCCAGGGACACAGGTGCTGCTCAGCCCCAGCACCATGCCCAGGGCCTGGTGCTGCCACCAAGGCAGTGGCAGCCCCAGGGGCAGCAGGCACAGCACCCCTGCAGCAGCAGGACACGCACACACGGCCCAGCCCTGCAATGCCAAAGTGCTGCTCTTTATTCAAGCCAGGAAAAGCAGCCCCTGCCCCAAAGACAGCGGGGCTGGCACCACAGGGCTCCAGC